CTTCACCTTGACGTTTAGAATCTTGTTGATCGAACAAGGTCAAGCCATCTTCAGCAATGACCTTCTGGACAAACAGAGCTCTGCCTATCAAATACTGCAAGGAGATCTCGTCAAGTCGGTACGGTGTGAATTCAATAGTTCTACCAATATGATATTTGTGAATACGAGTGTAGAAAATAGTCTGTGTACATCAAGACCATTATTGACATCGCTGCAAAGCTCATTTTTCAATAACACAATACTAGTCTTGACATGCCTAACTATTTGCTTCACTCTTAGCTGAAAGAAACTCTACTTTATTCGGAGAGATGGAGTAGTGTTATCTATATAAAACACAAAACTTACAACATAATAATATGATTTGAAGAGGTGTCACACGGAAGATCCATTGAAATTCAAAGTGAACAATCAGATGGAACGTGGCGACAAACAGTTAATAAGACGAACAGGAGCTGAATGAAAGTTGGCATACACTAAGGGTAGACCGTATTCCTGGTAGAACACTAGATCATAGATGAAAACCTTCCCCTTATAATCATACAGATAGATGTAACATGTGTAACAATGTAGAGTTCGTACTATTATTTGATCGGATGGTGATGAAAATGTAAATTAAATGATGAAAGATTTTAACCTCAAACGCATCTCTCGCAGCTCAAGCTTGAAATGTAATCGTAGGCAAGTTGATATAAAGCTCCATTAACCTACTTTCAGGGGCAAGTCAAATCTGCACAAGGGCGTTTAATAGTGACATGAAAATATCATTAATATCCCTTTTTTCTTATTTGTGATCTAGATCAATTCCATATTTGATGACTTACCGAGCTTTCTAGGATCAGAGATCTTCTCTTTCCAAACTGGGAGCATCATCGCTACCTCTCTGGTTTACTTCCAATCAAACTCAATCGTCACCAATAATAGTCTGACTAATCATATCGATGACGTCTTGATAACTGATGAATACACAATCAGTAGTAACTCGTCATACACGTTAGATGCTAGTAACATTGTCATTCAGCGTAAGTATTAAAAGAGGCGTTTGACATTAAACAATATTTCAATTGATGAATTACAGTTACCTTTGTTAAATAGATCTAGCACGATGTACAACTGTATCGCATTACATAGAAGCCATAGTTCGAATATAACATTCCTTTTTTGCGCACTATAATACGTTTTTAAAACCCCCAAAAGCCACGATGACATCTTAAAATATAATGAGAATATGTCGTAATTGACTTAATCAGTCTTTTAAAAGGGACGAAAACATGATAATCAACTTTTATTTTTATTTCGCAAGGCCTTGAATAATTCTTGCCAAGCCTACGATGATATTCATTTCTGCACCTTAGATATATTCAACATTAATATTATGCTGTATGATTTGAGGCATAATGAATACCTGCTAAATGTGGATATCGTTCAGCTACCAACGAGTGCTCACTCGGAACAGATGATTGTTCGCCTCTTGCAACCTGTTCTGATATCGATAAAGAGGGCTTCAACTGCACCTGTATTGAGGGATATACTTCAATATCTAACCTTTCAGGCCTGCATTGTGAAACAGGTACTAGGTATTGGCATGTTTTTGAATCAGGAAATAATCCTTTTCTAATTGATGACTTCGATACGAAAGATAATAAAAAACAGATAACGTATAAGATATATATAGATATTAAGTTGATAATGGATTCCCATTTTGATTGCTGTTTGAAAACCGTGGACTAACCCAATAGATCAATAGGAAGAAAACATAGGAAAACAGATGAATACCCAAAACCTTGACTGACTGTGTAACTTCAGTTCAACGGAAATGGTGACATCACTTTCATTAAGTCATATTCGTATATAAATCTCTAGAATAATTACTGTCAGAGTATGCCCTCCTTCTTGATGACCACACAAACTCACTCAAAATTAAATCATGAATCGCACTCACACAGAAAAAAATTAATGTACACTTGAATGTTGTTGTCAGATCATAATACATTGCAAAGAACTAACTGATGATAATAAATAATTTTGATGTTTGTATTGCTTTTTTCTGTGATGTTGTTATTGTTTCTGTTTATCATTTGGTTTCAATTGCTGCCAATAGTGAAAACTACATCTACGACTGAAAACGTGATTACGAGTACTGTGACGGCTATTGGAAACTCACCCTCAATAGGTAGGCATGTATGCATCTTGGTAAATCATATCAACCTCTAATTTCAGTTGGAGAGGGGGAGATATATAGAGAGGATATGAAAGAGAAAGATGAAGAAAGAGAGAAAGAAAGAGATGTTGAGATAAAGAGAGAGAGAGAGAAGAAGAAAAGGAAAGAGACCGCCCTATTTTACTCTGCACACACTTTCAATGTTGCTGTTTTAAGGTTTGTTTCAATGATAAGTTTCCGTCGGAAATAACAGTCCTATGCAAATTACGAACATTAAACTAATTTAACTAAACTAATTTCATTCGCACTGCATTGAATTGTAAAATGTATAGTCAATGTTACGTTTCTTGTACGAAAAGAAAGAAGAGAGACAAAACCTTTGTGGGTGCATATGGTCTACTTATGTCTCTTTACTATATAAATTATAAAACAAATGTAATCTTTGGACTTGATACATTTTTGTTATTTCTTTTGTTTCTCTCTTCTTTTTTTTTTAGCTACATGGATCTTGATTACAGTGTCGGTCGTTAGAGGCACTTTTATTATCTTTCTGCTGGTATCGCTTATAATCAGGAAATCATCTAAAAGAAAGATCACGCACCCTGAAGAAACATTGGTTGTACCAAAGGCTAAAAAGGACAATAAGGTAAATGTTGTACCTTAATGACTTATGTCGCAAAATATCAAACTTCAATCGGTTAATGATTAAACATATTTAAGTTTTCAATATTAGTTAAAACAATCTTCTGGAGAAACACGTGGAAAATGTACATGAGACAACTATTTTGTTAATGAAGTTACACAACCAAATAGGAGCCCATTAATCTCAAGCAATTTGCTTACATATTTTTTTACAACGAAACATGATGGATACATCAACAGTGATGTCAATATTTATGCTGTGTTCATTATGTGGAACAATATACTGTTCATTCTGATAAAATATTATTTTTTGAAAAAGGAAAATGTTTGCATAATTTAACCAGCATACTGAAATCACAATAGATAATTAGTAGGGACTAACAAAATTAATTTATTTTATTGCAATAATCAACATGAGTTCATATGTTTCCTTGTCCAGAATAAAAGCAGGAATTATGCGTGTCTTTTTTTTTCCTTAAACTATTTTTTCATTCTAGTTGGAGGCTTATCGCGGCTACTACACGTCTTTCAACGAATCAATTGACGAGTCAACTGATTCCGTGGAGGATACAGCGTTATGATGGTAACTACATTTACATGATCCATTAAAATTATAGTCATGTTCCAGATACCGCAAGAAGTTATGTGACGGGTCCTAGATTCCCTTCTTGCATGGGGGGGGGGGGCATGTCCTAACATATATATAATAAAGTGAAGGAAGTGAGGAGAGAGAGAGAGAGAGAGAGAGAGAGAAAGAGAGAGATACAAATATATATAGGTAGATAGATAGTTAAGTAGGTAGGTATAGAGATAAAAGAGAGAGAGAGAGAGAGAAAGAGGCGGGAGAAAGAGAGAGAGAGAGAGATGTTTTCGCAAATCACAGAGCTCTTTTGGTCAAACATTTAGCCGTGGGCACATTAGGACCAAAAATATAACTTTAGAATATTGACCACTGAGCAGTTATCGCCGGAGCATGTGTCGCAAGCAGTAAGAACATTTTCTACACAACTTCCTTTTTATCATGTTATTCAAGGTTGAACAAAACATGATTAGACAGTTGTTTAAAACTCTGCCATCACATAATTTCTATAACATTGTTTCACTGTAAATGATAGACTGATATTAAATAAATAAAATACAATAATCTTTATCACATACAAGACCTTTGACACGTAATGTCTCTGATTAGAATGTAATGTGTAATCTGTTTACTTTGTATCACGTACTTTCATCTCCATTGAGTCAATAAGTACAGTAATATATTGTGGATTTATTGTTCTGTTCGTGTTTCTTTTCGGCATTCGCAAATGAGTACAATGTAAATAGACTAAAGCTGTATTACTGAATTATCTCTGTTGTGTTTCATCGTCAGATAGATGAACTACTGTGCTTCTGACTTTAATAAGTTTCAGCTCCTGATTGACATTCCTTACCTACCTTTCACGTTGCCTCTTTGAGTTAAACAATACTTCGGGATTTACAAGCGTGCTCGTTAGGCTTCATTTTGATACAAAGTAATTTTTTCAAGATGCCTAAATCGACGAAGAAGACAAATCAGAGGGTGACAGCATAGGCTGCGACGAAGACGACAGCAAAGGCCAAGCCAAGGAAGAGAAGGGCGTCGAAGGCTACGTCCCTGAAAGCAGAGACTGGTAAATATCACGTCATAATTACGTCTTGTACTACGTCTTTAAGACGACATAACACGACGTCAAAAAGACATGATTTTGCACCCGCGCACGTCGTCATGAGGACGTCATATTTTGACGTGATTTGTACGTCTTATTAGTTAAAGAAAGACGTCTTTAAGACGTCAACTTGTACCTTAGGAAGACGTCGTATGGACGTCATATTTACGTCTTACTAGTCAAAGAAAGACGTCTTTAAGACGTTAACTTGTACCATAGGAAGACGTCATATAAACGTCATATTTACGTCTTTTTTGTTAAAGAAAGACGTCTTTAAGACGACTTAACTTTACGTCAAAAAGACGTAAACTTGCACCCGCGTACGCCGTCGTGAGGACGTCATATTTTGACGTGATTTTTACGTCTTATAAGTTAAAGAAAGACGTCTTTAAGATGTCAACTTGTGCCATAGAAAGACGTCATATGGACGTCATATTTACATCTTTTGGTCAAAGAAAGACGTCTTTAAGACGTCACCTTGTACTACAGAAAGACATCGTATGGACGTCATATTTTGTCATGATTTTAACGTCTTATTAGTCAAAGAAAGACATCTTTAAGACGCCAACTTGTACCATGGAAGACGTCGTATGGACGTCATATTTCTTTCTGGTCTTATTGGTCCAAGAAAGATGACTTTAAGACGTCAACTTTTACCCAAGAAAGACGTCCTACAGACGTCGTGTATACGTTGTATGGACATCAAATTTTGACGTGATATTTACGTCTTACTGGTCATTTCGATGTACCTTTTATCCTTACATGATCTTTACGTCTTTTTTGTCCTCTAAATGACATCTATATGACCACCTGATGAAGGAAGAAAGTGTAAAAGTCACTTCATGAATATATTCTGAACATTCACACAGTAAAAATAGAGCAACAAATATTGCATCACATAATATATACACATGCCAGACAGAAAGTAATTTTCATATTTTTAATGTTCATTTATATGGTATGAAAATGGATAATAAAAACATAGAATACTTATGTTTATACCTTCTTCTATCTAACTTGTCTTCTATAAAATCTTTCCATCACCATCCTGAAACTTCTTCCAAAACATGCTGTATAAATAGTACCTAGTGTATTTCTGTCAGTCTCATAATTGATTTTAAGAAAGTTAACAGGCCATCACAAAGATATTTGTTTTGTTATAAATTGTGCTATTTCATTTCAAATTTAATTCAGTTACAAGAAACTATGATATATATTGGCTTCACTTATAAGTCTTGCGGTTGTGAGAAGCAGGTTAGCAGCATAGAGACTAGGTAAAGCTACACTGATACCCGCAGTTGTTTAGTAGACAAGAAAGCAGCAGACTGGGGAAGTTCCTCATATTCAGCAAAACAGCATAGTGGAAAGCTGGGCATTCATCAGTGCAGCTCTATTTCTTCTCCATGCTGCAACACTGCTCCTCACAACTCCGATACTTTAATGCAGATAAAGACTATAACATAAAAAAAAAGGTTGTTGGAAACAATTCCTGAGCATGAAAGATCAATATTTGTTACATACAAGGGGAATGTCTAAGTTTATGGCAAGAATTCAGTATAAAGTATAAAACTATACAATCTAAATCACGCACAAGAGAAAAATGGCACAAATGATAAACACATGGCTTAGCTAAGTTATTTCTTACACTCAAAAGGAACAAGTTGGCAGCAAGGGAAACAGGGACAGCTTCACTGATACCTGAAGAGTTTTCTGATGATGGTTGCTTGCCCGTTGAAACCACGATGTTCACATTTGGCGATACAGCATATTGGAAAACTGTGCAGATATCAGCTCAACTGTACCTATTTTCTGTGCTAGAAACCTGCTTCTTACTGACACACGACTTAAATACAAGAAAAGGCATTAGTTACAACATTCATATTTTATAAATATTATCCAAAAAAAAATTGTTGCAAATACAGAAGCTGAACATTCCCGCCAGTACGAGTGGCTTTGTTGAGCATGAGACATTATGAAACAAGTCAACTTCATAAATAGTAATTACAAATATACTCAAAATACTGGAATCTTTTAGACTTTTACCCAAATCGTTATTATGTCAGTTCGTAAATCCTATAATTCATTAAAATTGCAAGTAACATGACTGGAAATTTCAGTTCTACAGCTTATCCATTCAGGTTTGTGGCTACACCTTACCCCTCCCCCTCCCCCAATCTCTCTCTATAAAGTTAATGAAGTGAAAAAATAACCTTTCTCTAGCAGTAAAGCTATCGGGTGAGTGTAGATCAAATTTTGCGAAATATTCCACTTCAGCTTGGACTTGTGGGTTAGCTTTTGGGTGGAATGTCCTGCATTATGCACTGTTTTCAGATCCAAGGAAAATAGACGCAAGGAATTCTAATGCATGAATAAAGCAAAAAGAAAGGAATACAATTTAAGAAAAACTTTCATATATTTTAAAACTGGAACGTAAATAATGAGTTCTGTCAGAAAAGTACTGCTTGGTAAGATTTATCAGAAATAATTTCTTATTGCTCACAAACATAAAGTCAACACACCTTTGGGTTTTAAACATTTGTGGGCAATGCAAAACGTGATTCAGGATTTTGTTTGGTAAATTATCAATACAATTCTAGTTTCAGGGATGCCAGTTAGAATTGATCAGAGGACTTGAAAAATCACCTAGAATGAGCTAGCTTGTACACAAAAAACCTAGACTATGGTATGAAAATAACTCGTCAGGGCCTGAATTCAGGCTATTGCCTGAAAACTGGCATTCCTGTAGTTTGCTGATGAGGGTATGGAAGCTCCTTGACCTATGCTGAAGGGTAAAAAAACACTGTTTGAAACTCACATAATATTGTCGGTTATTGCAACATACCTGCAGATTTTAGTGATCTAAAATTAATTGAATTATAAATATATTTGAAAATTAGGACAAATAACTGAAATAAGCCTTTCAAATGAAATGAACCATTATGTAGTGTCTAATTCGTCAGTGTCTCAGTGATCATGCACAATATGACAAATAAATGTACAGAAATAATACAAGTACATGTACACATTTACCGATAATGGCTTCAACTGTTTCAAGAGGCTGCTGATCCTTAGGGAAGTAGGGAACATCCACAAGGTTGAGAAAAAGTAGCATTTTCTGCATGGTTTAACATCAATATACTGAGGCCACAATGTGCTTTGAATCCACTTCTTTGACGAAAGATGTTAAAAAAGGATGCCTACAAATAAATGAGAAAATGAATAAAGTTAAGACAAAATGAATGGTTGATAATGTATGCATGTGCAACACATTTGAACAGCCTATGGGGAAAGAATTTTGTTTACCATTTACAGGTCTAACCGATTATATCCAGATAAGATTTATGTATACGGTAGCCTATAAGCTAAATTTGCTGTCTAAAGACTATAGAAACGACTTGTTTAAGGTTACATGTTTGTGACACAAGTCACTGCTTTATTCCTCTACGTATCGACACGCAATGCTCAATTTTCAGGCTTTCATCGAAAGGGTGCGGTGCGGTGCGGCGCGGTGTGGTGTGCTCAACGCACCCATTCGATAAAAGAGGGGGGGGGGGCTTTTCTCGAAAGGGTGCGTTGAGAGCGGAGTACCGTTTTAACACACCCTTTCGATAAAAGCGGGGGGGGGGGGGGCTTTTCTCAAAAGGGTGCGTCGACTTGTCTTTCGCATCAGTCGTTTAAAATGAGGATCTGGGACAGAAGGTAATAGTTGCCAATTTAAGTATATCGAAAATATATTAAATAAAATGGAATGGTCTTGATTACAGAGTGGTCTCTTTCGTTATTACTATGTTGATGGGGGAGACAGAGAGAAGGAAAAAAGGGAAAGGGAAAGGGAAGATAAAAGGAAAGAAAGAAGAATAAGAAGAAAAGAGGAAAACGGGGGAAAGGCGGAGGACTCTTGCCTCCCCCCCCCCCCCCCCGCCAAAAAATAAATCAGAGAGAGAGAGAGAAGGGAAAGGAAAAAAAAATTAAAGGAAATAAAAAAGAGGAATAAGAAGAAAAGAGGGAAACGATGGAAGGGCGAAAGGCTCTTACCTACCCCCCCCCCCCCTCCCGCCAAAAAAAAAATAAGAGAGAGAAGGGAGAGGGAAAGTAAATCTAAAAGGAAAGAAAGAAGAGGAAAAAGAATAAGACGAAAAGAGGGAAACGGGGGCAAAGGACTCTTGCCCTCCCCCCCCCCCCCCGCCAAAAAAAAAAAAAAAGCGAGAGAGAGAGAGAGAGAGAGATTTGAAAGCGAAAGGGAAAGAGAATACAAGGAAAGAAAGAAGAGGAAGAAGAATAAGAAGAAAAGAGGGAAACGGGGGCGAAGGGCTCTTGCCTCCTCCCCCCCCCCCCCTGCCAAAAAAAATAAGAGAGAGAGAGATTGGAAAGCGAAAGGGAAAGAGAAGATAAAAGGAAAGAAAGAAGAGGAAAAAGGAAAGAAGAAAAGATGGAAACATGGGCGAAGGGCTCTTGCCCCCCCCCCCCCCGCCAAAAAAAAATTAGAGAGAGAGAGAGAGAAGGGAGAGGGAAAGAAAATATAAAAGGAAAGAAAGAAGAGGAAGAAGAAGAAAAGAGGAAAACGGGGGAAAGGCGGAGGACTCTTGCCTCCCCCCCCCCCGCCAAAAAATAAATCAGAGAGAGAGAGAGAGAGAAGGGAAAGGAAAAAAAATTAAAGGAAATAAAAAAGAGGAATTAGAAGAAAAGAGGGAAACGTGGGAAGGGCGAAGGGCTCTTGCCTCCTCCCTCCCCACCCCCTCCCGCCAAAAAAATAAATAAGAGAAAGAGAGAGAGAAGGGAGAGTAAAAGAAAATCTAAACGGAAAGAAAGAATAAGAAAAGAGGGATACGGGGGCGAAGGGCTCTTGCCTCCTCCCCCCCCCCCCCGCCCAAAAATAAATAACAGAGAGAGAAGGAAAGGGAAAGAGAAGATAAAAGGAAAGAAAGAAGAGGAAGAAGAACTTGTGTCCTGCCAGTGTCACAAATAGATATAAAAATATGCTCATCTGACGATAATTCGATGTATAAAACCCTTCACCTTCTTGGGGCTCCACCCCTTGGATCCAACACCAATTTGTGTCCTGCCAGTGTCACAAATAGATATAAAAATATGCTCATCTGACCGTTATTTATTGCCCAAAACCCCTGAGCTTCCGTGGGCTCCACCTCCTTGACCCCACGCCAATTCGTGACCCCTGTGTCACAAATAAGGTATAAAATAATAATAATTTAATGTACAAAACTCCTGAGCTTCTGGGGGCTCCGCCCCCTGGACCCAACACCAAATTGTGTCCTGCCACTGTCACAAATAAGGTATAAAATTATTCTCATCCGACATTAATTTTGATGTTTAATACCCCTGAGCTTCCGAGGGCTCCGCCCTGTGAAAAAAACGTGTAAAAAAACACGTTTATTTTACTGTTTTGGGGAGATAGCCCCCCCCCCCTCGCTGGCGTTCAAGGGGGGGGGGGGAGTGGTACGATTTTTACAAATTTTCGAGGGCCCCAACAAAAGATTAGTGCTCTCTAGTCATTTCGCGACTACTCCGGAACCGCGGCAGATATAAAGTTTTTCTTTCATTACTTTTTTCTTTCGAGTCTCACGCATCTTTTGAAACATTTTTTTGTTGAAAATTGGACGTATAGTTGCGGAGTCACGTGTTTGTTAGTTGAATTGTGGTTAGAAATGAAATAAAACAACAAAAACAATATAATACATAAATACGAATTATCAAAACAAGAGATAACATAGGGATTAACTGGCTCTTCCAACTTTGTTGTCGTATTATTATTCTAACGAATATATGTAGTGAAAAAGAACGCTTAAATATGAATTATATATGATTTATGGGTAAAAATGTGAATTCTCTGACCTTGTTTGCATAAATTACCATAAATATGCAAATGAGTGAATTTGTCAAAAAATTGAATAGTTTTTTATACACTTCACTTGACATGCATGCACATTTTCGCGGCGATCGGCTGTGAAACGGCCGAGATCTTAGGGGGAACCTCCCCCCCCCCCCACCCTCAAGTCTACTCCAATCACATTGAAAAAAAGTATGACTTAAATCATCTCTCTCATCATTATACCGCTATAGTATTCATGTTTTTAATATTATTTATTATCCTTCCATTAAACAAGTTAATAGAGAAAATACTTTTCTTTCTGCAACATTAAAAAAGAATCTTCATTAATATGTCTTAATTTGTGTGGATAGCCTTGTGGTCGCCAACAATGGCGTAGGTAGGGGCGTCTCCAAAGGGGGGGGGGGTGTGGGGGTGCGACACCCCCCCCCCACCTGTCAGGATATTGTCGGTAAAATTGCGCTGCCGTCGGGAAAAAAGAGAAAAGGGGGAGGGGGAAAAAAGAGAGGGAAAGGAAAAAGAAAAAGAAAGAAAGAGAAAAACGAAAAAGAGGGAGAATAGGAAAGAAAGGAAAAGAAGAAAAAATGGAGGCAAGAGCCCTTTGCCCCCGTTTCCCTCTTTTCTTCTTCTTCCTCTTCTTTATTTCCTTTTATCTTCTCTTTCCCTTTCCTTCTCTCTCTCTCTCTTATTTATTTTTTGGCGGGGAGGGGGTAAGGAGGCAACAGCCCTTCGCCCCGTTTTCCTCTTTCGTATTGTTCTTCCTTTTCTTTCTTTCCTTTTATATTCTCTCTTTCCCTTTCCCTTTCCCTTCTCTCTCTCTCTCTCTCTCTTATTTATATTTTTGGCGGGGGGAGGCAAGAGCCCTTCGCCCCCGTTTCCCTCTTTTCTTCTTCTTCCTCTTCTTTCTTTTCTTTTATCTTCTCTTTCCCTTTCCCTTCTCCCTCTCTCTCTCTCTCTCTCTCTCTCTTATTTATTTTTTGGCTTGGGGGGGGGGGGGGAGGCAAGAGCCCTTCGCCCTTCCCCCATTTCCCTCTTTCCTTCTAATTCCTCTTCTTTCTTTCCCTTTCCCTTCTCTCTCTCTCTTATTTATTTTGTTGGCGGGGGGGGGGGGGGGGGGTAAGAGCCTTTCGCCCTTCCCCCGTTTCCCTCTTTCCTTCTTCCTCTTCTTAATTCTTTCCTTTTATATTTTCTTTCCCTTTCCCTTTCCCTTCTCTCTCTCTCTCTTATTTATTTTTTGGGCGGGGGGGGGGTGAGGAGGAGGCAAGAGCCCTTCGCCCCCCCCCCCGTTTCCCTCTTTTCTTCTTATTCTTCTTTCTTTTCTTTTATCTTCCCTTTCCCTTTCCCTTTTTTCCTTCTCTCTGTATCCCCCATCAACATAGTAATAACGAAAGAGACCACTCTGTAATCAAGACGGCGTAAATATTCATAATTGAATGACACACGCCCTTAAAACTAAAACAACAACAACAACCATTCCATTTTATTTAATACATTTTCGATATACTTAAATTGGCAACTATTACCTTCTGTCCCAGATCCTCATTTTTAACGACTGATGCGAAAGACTAGTCGACGCACCCTTTCGAGAAAAGCCCCCCCCCCCCCGCTTTTATCGAAAGGGTGTGTTAAAACGGTACTCCGCTCTCGACGCACCCTTTCGAGAAAAGCCCCCCCCCCTCTTTTATCGAATAGGTGCGTTGAGCACACCGCGCCGCACCGCACCGCACCCTTTCGATGAAAGCCGTTATCACCAATATACAAGCCCCGTGTATATGGTGAAAAATCATACACGTACACGTGACCGTTTCAACGTTTTCATTGGCTACACTGTGTCCTGACCCAATTTTATAACAATATTAATACTGATCAATTAGAGTTCATAATATCTTGAATATCCCTCTGCCCACTGCTTAAATAGATGTTAAAGGGTCTCAATGCACAGTGTATGTAATTTATCCCCTGAATCTGCTAATAGATTTTCATTAGCGAGTAAACGATGTAAATTGATGCAGGGCATGTCCCTGATTGATGTAAGATTTGCATATCGAACATGTTTAAAGCTATGGTCACACACAAAAAAGTAGCCTGCTCGGCGGCCGGGTGGTGAGTTTTTAGCCAATTTCGCCGGGGCACCGCTTGTTTTTAGGGCATCGCTCGACGGCGAACGCTCGGGCATCGAGAGTATTTTGGTGTCCCGTCGATCACCGGCCGGCCGCCGGGCAATTTCTTTAAAATCACTCGGTGGCTGGTGGGAGACTGCTCGGGAATCGATAGGTCATCAGTCGGTAACTGTCGGGACACTGCCCGGAGAAGCTCCCCGATTTCGCCCATGTTTTACCTTAAATCGACCGGCGACCGTAGAAAAATTGATAGGGTACCGCCCAGGCATCGAC